GCTGTACAGCAAAGTGATTCAGTTATACATATATATATATATATATATATATATATATACATTCTTTTTTTATATATTTTCCATTATGGTTTATCATAAGATAGTAAATATAGTTCTCTGCGCTATACCTTGCTTATCCGTTCTGTATATAAAACCTTACATCTGCTAACCCCAACCTCCCACTCCAACCCCTCTCCGCTGGCAACCACCAGTCTGTTCTCTATGTCCGTGATTCTGTTTATTTCATAGATAAGTTCATTTGTGTCGTATTTTAGATTCCACATATAAGTGATATATCATGGTATTTGTCTTTCTCTTTCTGGCTTACGTTACTTAGTATGATAATCTCTAGTTGCATCCATGTTGCTGCTAATGGCATTATTTCCTTCTTTCCTATGGCTGAGTAGTATTCCATTGTATATATGTACCACATCTTCTTTATCCATTCATCTGTCAGTGGACATTTAGGTTGTTTCCAGGTCTTGGCTGTTGTGAATAGTGCTGCTGTGAACATACTGGTGCATGTATCTTTTTGAATTATAGTTTTGTCTGGGTATATACCCAGGAGTGGGATTGCTGGATCATATGGTAATTCTATTTTTAGTTTCTTGAGGAACCTCCATACTGTTTTCCACAGTGGCTGCACTAACTGACATCCCCACCAACAGTATAGGAGGGTTCCCTTTTCTCCACACCCTCTCCAACATTTATTTTATTTTTTAAAGGGTGTTGTGGTTTTTTTGATAAATTTATTTTATTTTTGGCTGAGTTGGGTCTAAGTTGCTGCACGTGGGCTTTCTCTAGTTGCGGCGAGTGGGGGCTACTCTTTGTTGCGGTGTGTGAGCCTCTCATTGCGGCGGCCTCTCTTTGTTTCGGAGCATGGGCTCTAGGCACAAGGGCTTCAGTAATTGTGTCGTGCAGGCCCAGTAGTTGTGCACAGGCTTAGTTGCTCCGCAGCATGTGGGATCTTCCCGGACCAGGGCTTGAACCCGTGTCCCCTGCATTGGCAGGTGGATTCCCAGCCACTGCACCACCAGGGAAGCCCTCCAGCATTTATTGTTTGTAGATCTTTTGACGATGGCCATTCTGACCGGTGTAAGGTGATAGATACCTCATTGTAGTTTTGATTTGCATTTGCCTGATAATTAGCCATGTTGAGCATCTTTTCATATGCCTATTGGCCATCTGTATGTCTTCTTCGGAGAAATGTCTATTTAGGTCTTCTGCCCTTTTTTTTTTTTTTTTTTTTTTTTTGCGGTTCGCGGGCCTCTCACTGTTGTGGCCTCTCCCGTTGCGGAGCACAGGCTCTGGACGCGCAGGCTCAGCGGCCACGGCTCACGGGCCCAGCCACTCCGTGGCATGCGGGATCCTCCCGGACCGGGGCATGAACCCGCGTCCCCCACATCGGCAGGCGGACTCCCAACCACTGTGCCACCAGGGAAGCCCTTCTGCCCAGTTTTTGATTGGGTTGTTTGATTTTTTTGTTGTCGAGTTGTATGAGCTGTCTGTATATTTTGGAAATTAAGCCCTTGTCAGTCTCATCGTTTGCAAATATTTTCTCCCATTCCATAGGTTGTCTTTTCATTTTGTCGATGGTTTCCTTTGTTGTGCAAAAGCTTGAAGGTTCATTAGGTCCTGTTTGGTTTTTGTGTTTGGTTTGGTTTATATTTCTGTTACCTTGGGAGACTGACCTAAGAAAACATTGGTACGATTCATGTCAGAGAATGTCTTGCCTGTGATCTCTTCTAGGATTTTTATGGTGTCATGTCTTACATTTAAGTCTTTAAGCCATTTTGAGTTTATTTTTGTGTATGGTGAGAAGGTGTGTTCTAACTTCATTGATATACATGCAGCTGTCCAACTTTCCCAACATCAGTTGCTAAAGAGGCTGTCTTTTTCCCATTGTATATTCTTACCTCCTTTGTTGAAAATTAATTGATTGTAGGTGTGTAGGTTTATTTCTGGACCCTCTGTTCCACTGATCCGTATGTCTGTTTTTGTGCCAATACCACATTGTTTTGATTACTATAGCTTTGTAGTATTGTCTGAAGTCTGGAAGCCTCCAGCTTTGTTTTTTTTCCTCAGTGTTGCTTTGACAATTCTGGGTCTTTTATGGTTCCATATGAATTTTAAGATTATTTGTTCTAGGGACTTCCCTGGTGGTCCAGCGGTAAAGCATCTGCCTTACAATGCAGGGGACATGGGTTTGATCCCTGTTCAGGGAACTGAGATACCACATGCTGTGGGGCAACTAAGCCCATGTGCCACAACTACTGAGCTCACATGCTTCAACTAGAGAGCCTGCGTGCTGCAAACTACAGAGCCCACACGCCCTGGAACCCACGTGCCACAACTAGAGAAGAGAAAACCCACATGCCACAACTAGATAGAGAAGCCCACGTACTGCAATGAAGAGTCCATGTGCTGCAATGAAGATCCCACATGCCGCAACCAAGACCCAACTTAAGCCAAAAATAAATTAAATAAATCTTTAAAAAATGTTTTAAAAAAGATTATTCTAGTTCTGTGAAAAATGTCATGGGTAATTTGATAGGGATTGCATTAAATCTGTCGATTGCTTTGGGTAGTATGGCCATTTTAACGTATTAAGTCTTCCAATCCAAGAGCATGGGATATCTTTCCATTTCTTTGAATCATCTTCAGTTTCCTTTATTAATGTTTTATAGTTCTCAGTGTATGTCTTTCACCTCCTTGGTCAGGTTTATTCCTAAGTATTTTATTGTTGGGGGTGCGATTTTAAAAGGTATTGTGTTTTTTTTACATTCCTTTTCTGATATTTCATTGTTGGTGTAAAGAAATGCAACTGATTGCTGTATGTTAGTCTTGTATCCTGCTACTTTGCTGAATTCGTTTATCAGTTCTAGTAGTTTTTGTGTGGAGTATTTAGGGTTTTCTATGTATGGTATCATATCATCTGCATATAATGACAATTTTACCTTTTCTCTTGCAATTTGAATACCTTTTATTTCTTTTTCTTGTCTGATTTCTGTGGCTAGGACTTCCAGTACTGTGTTGAATAGAAGAGGTGAGAGTGAGCATCCTTGTCTTGTTCTAGAATTTAGCAGGAAGGCTTTCAGCTTTTCACCACAGAATATTATATTGGCTGTGGGTTTGTCATAAATTTATTATCTTGAGATATGTTCCCTCTATACGTAGGGGCTGTGTTCTTGAGTTGAGTCCTAGGATCATGTTTTGCTTATACTTCTGCCCTACAGTTCCATTTATTGAGCATTCCTAACCTTTTCTGAGCTAACTTAAGTACCCAGATATGCATTTAAAGAAATACTTAGCCAGGATTTATAGAACACTGTGCAGTCAGCTTTAACAGTTAAGAAATAAGAAAATCTCGAAGGAGAGGGAATGGAACATTAAAATTGGAACTCAGAGACTGATAAAATTGCCCTCCTTGTTTTCTTGCTCATTACACATTTGTGTCTACAGGTAGTTTGCTGCTGAGAGCTGGTGCCCTTGGCCCCCTCCTTCCCTCCACCCCCCACCCAGCGGGTCAGGTACTTCTGTGCTCAGCCTCCTGGGGTGGATGTGGTGGGTCATTGTGGCCCTTCTCTGCAGCAGAAGAAAGCAGCACAGAGTGTCCTGTGCTACTCTCTGATTCCTCTGAAATCTGCTTATCTTTAATAATGAAAGCTGTTAATTGGAATGTTGTAAATAGCACAGTATAAACGCTTAGGGCCAGTGGTTGCGGGGGAGGTTGGAATTGAGAGTGGGGGATAAAGGACAAAAATGTAACAGAAGTAAACATAGGAAAGGAGCAGACATGTATAGAGGCTGAGTGCAGGTGCCTCTGTTAGTGGAAGAGTTGTGTCCTGGTAGCTGAAAACGAGGCTGGGAAATAACGGAAAGATACCCCCTCTTCTCTTCCCTGTCATTTTCTCTCCATGAAACTCATGCCCTTGAACTCTCAGAGTGCTTATTGCTCTATGGCTTGCATATGGTGTTTGTCTTATTCTGTAGCCATGTCCATGTATGTCCCACATCCTAGAAGACTGGAAGCCCATGAAGAGCAGGGACCACCTCATTTGTCTTGATATCCCCACAGCACTTGTCCCTGACACACGGTAGACTCTTAATAAGGTTAGTTGAACAAATCCAGTTGAGGAGAACATGGGGAAGTAAGTAACTGCCAGACAGACATGACTGTGTTCAAATTAATGGTCTTGTTAAGAAGTGGTAGGGTTTGGGAGGGCTGGTGACTGGGTGCAGGGGATTAGAAGATGCTCACGGTTGGTGGGGAGCAGAGTGGGACAAAAGCCAAAAGGCAGAGGCCTGTAAGGCATATGAGGAAGCAGCCTAGCCTGGAGAGAAGGGGTGGAGCCAGGCAAGGGCACCTAGAAAGATGAGGAAGGGCATGAAAATGCCTGTGCATCAAGATGGAGGCCTGGAGCTTGTGATCAGCCCCCAACAAGGCCTGAAAAAGAGCCTATACTAGCCCAGTCTCCTTTAGCTGAAGGCAACAGAAATCCAAGTTAAACCAGCTTAAACACAAGGAGGAATTTATTGGTTCCCATAAGTGAAAAGTCCAGGGGGATGGCTGGTCTAGTGTATAACCTAGATCCGGGTTGCAAATGATGTCCTCAAGAATGTATATGTATCCTTTGGCTCTTTCTCATTAGCTCCATTCTCAGTCACACCCTCAGATTAGACGACTGTGGGCTGCATCAGGCTTATGTCCTGCAAAAAGAGCTGCAAGAGTCCAGGGACTGACGCATTGACTGCAGCCGGATTACTTTCCCACAGCTGAGCTAGTCTTCACTCAGGCAAGGCCACAGGAGAGGAAGAGGCAGAGACAACCCTGGAGGGGGAATGGGGGTGTGTTCCCAGAAGTGAGGGTTGTAAACTGGGAAAGCAAAATCGGCAGGAGAGCACTGCAGGGATACAGGCCCCTGGTTTAAGTCACCATGAGAAGCAGACGGGCCTCATACGTGGTGTATATATAAGTCACTCTTTTTCTTGTTTTTCAGCATCTCCATGATACAGTGAAGAGGAATCTCGATAGTGCCACATCCCCTCAGAATGGTGATCAGCAGAATGGCTATGGAGACTTCTTTCCTGGGCATAAGAAGACCCGCCGGGAGGCCCCTCTGGGAGTTGCCGTCTCTTCCAATGGCCTGCCTCCAGCCTCCCCCCTTGGTCAGCCTGACAAGCCTGGCACAGAGGCCCTACAGGCCAGCGGGAAGCACTCACTGGGGCTGGACTCCATCAACAAGAAGCGTCTGGCAGACTCAAGCCTCCACTTGAATGGAGGCAGCAACCCCAGTGAGTCATTTCCCCTGAGCCTGAATAAAGAACTGAAGCAGGAGCCCGTGGACGACCTGCCTTGCATGATCACAGGGGCCGGAGGCTCCATATCTCAAAGCAACCTCATGCCTGACCTCAACCTTAATGAGCAGGAGTGGAAGGAGCTCATCGAGGAGCTGAACAGGTCAGTGCCTGATGAAGACATGAAGGATCTATTTAATGAGGACTTTGAAGAGAAGAAGGATCCAGAGTCTTCTGGTTCTGCCACACAGACCCCCTTGGCACAGGACATTAATATTAAAACAGAATTCTCTCCAGCAGCCTTTGAACAAGAACAGTTAGGCTCTCCACAAGTGAGGGCTGGGTCTGCAGGACAGACCTTTATGGGGCCTTCATCTGGCCCTGTGAGCACAGATTCACCCAGCCTAGGGGGCTCTCAGCCCCTGTTCCACACCTCTGGTCAGCCTGGGGTGGACAATCCCAGTCCCAACCTGATGTCAGCATCAGCCCAAGCCCAGAATGCACAAAGAGCCCTCTCCAGTGTGGTGTTGCCTAGCCAGGGCCCAGGCGGGAGCTCAGAGCTGTCCTCTGCCCACCAACTCCAGCAGATCGCTGCCAAGCAGAAGCGTGAGCAGATGCTCCAGAACCCACAGCAGGCTGCCCCAGCACCAGCTCCAGGCCAGATGTCCACGTGGCAGCAGACAGGCCCCTCCCACAGTCCCTTAAATGTCCCTTATTCCATGGAAAAACCTGCCAGCCCTCCCGGTTACAAGCAAGACTTCACTAGCTCCAAACTGCTCATGATACCCAGTGTGAACAAGAGCTCCCCTCGTCCAGGAGGCCCCTACCTCCAGCCCAGCCATGTGAACCTGCTGAGTCACCAGCCATCAAGTAACTTGAATCAGAATCCCGTGGCTAACCAAGGATCCGTGCTGGACTACGGCAACACCAAACCCCTTTCTCACTACAAAGCAGACTGTGGGCAAGGCGGCCCTGGGGCTGGCCAGAGCAAGCCGGCCCTGATGGCTTATCTTCCCCAGCAGCTGTCTCATCTGAACAACGAGCAGAACTCCTTATTTCTAATGAAACCAAAGCCAGGAAATTTGCCCTTCCGATCACTGGTTCCACCTAGCCAGGTGAGCACAGGGCTTTACTCTGTTACTCTGCATCCACATCCATCCTAGTGTGGTTACCAGGTCCCAGGTAGTTGTGGAACAAAGGGAGGGAAGGAGCTGGTACTTTCGTCCTTTGACTCCCTTGGGAGTGAAAATTGACCAAGCAAACAAGGGTTGATTCTTAATAAACAAAAATAGGGTAAAATTCCCTAGTGTAACTTGGTTTTAACTGTATACCCATTTGAGGAATCCCCTGCACTTGGTCTAGTGTCTCTTTCATGCCATACAACTTAAGTTATTTGTGGCAAGATCACACTTAATGTCCTTAGAGGCTCTGCTTTTTTTTTTTTAATACCACTTTTCAGACATGTGTGTTCAAAATACCATAAATTTTAGTAAGCTTATAACATTTAGGTGAGTGCTGCTTCCTAACAGGTTATTTAGTCAAGACACTCAAGCCTGGCAGAATCACATGGCTTTGTAGGGTGGAGAATGGTCAAGTACCATTCTATGATGATCATTATTTGCATTTCTACTCACATTCAAATATGTTCTAAAATGTCTCCCCACTGGAAGCCTTCTCATGGCTAGGGCTTGTATAGTAAACAAACACAGAGTGTTCCCAGACTTCCTCCAAGTTAGCACTTGCTTTTCTTACTCCACAGTGTGTCCTGGATTGTCTTCTATATCTATAGAAGACATATATATTTAGATCCATTGATACTTTTTAACACTTGTGTGACAATAGTTGTGTCACATGCAGTTGGGTGTATTGCATTGCCTCCTTTCTTTGACTACTGTAAGCCTGCAGTCTATTTGTAGCACACTCTAAAATGTTTAAAAACTCAATGCTAGTAATACCATGAGGAAATTGGCATGTTCAGATAGTAGTGAGGGTGTGTAAATGGGCACAATGCTTTTGGAAAGTAATTTGACATTTTGTATTTTTCATAAGCCATAAAAATGTTCATAAGCATTGACACATTATATACCCCCGCAAGAAATAATCCGAAAAAAGGAAGAAAGTTACATACAAGATATTAATTGCATGATTATTTCTAATAGCCAAAAACTGGAAGCAGTCTAAGCATCTGTCAGCAGAAGAATGCATGTGTAAACATTCATACTTCTAATTATTTCAGCCACTAAACTGCTACACAGCCACTGAGAGCATCCTAAAGAAAGAGCGGCACAGTGATGTCTGCCATTTCAGTAGTACTTTGCACCTCACAAGGCACTCTTGTAGTCCATAAGCTTCTGGTGATTGGAATGAGGAGATTACTTCAGAATCTGTCTACTCTAAGATTAGAATCTTGTAAAAAGATTAAATGTACAAATGAGGGACTTCCCTGGTGGTCCAGTGGTTAAGACTCCACACTCCCAAAGCAGGGGGCCCAGGTTTGAACCCTTGTCAGGGAACTAGATCCCACATGCCCCAACTAAGACCTGGTGCAGCCAAATACATACATACATACATATACATACATACATACATACAAATAAATAAGGACTGGGTAAAAGCTCAAAAAGTTGAATTTGTTCAAATGACAATTGCTTTTTGCCTTTTTCCTGTATGAGTTAAAATTTTTCCTTTTCTTTTAAAGGTAAGTAATGATGTTGGGGTAATATTGTGGTAACCTTTGACATGACTCTCACTTTAGGTCCAGGTATTAATAGAGAATATCCATTAAAATTCTCATTGGTACTCAGTATTTTTTGAGCATAAGTATCTGACAAAAGTCAAGCAGTCTCTTCCCAGGAAAATGCTGTACACATGTGGACAAACCATATAATTTCAGGAGGTTCAGGGACAGCCCTGCCACCAGGGGCCCAAGGTTTGCACACTCAGAATGTAGTATCTCCATCAACCAGAGCCCCTCAGAAGTTCCTCCTCTGGGGGCCTATCCACACCCATGCATTCCAGTAAGGGAGCATTTATAAGCTACAGTTGCCACTGGAACTATGTATACAAATATACGAGCTTAAATGTAAAATCACACCTTTGCCACTGGTGAATCATAGGAAACAAACCTAACATGCAGCTAGTGACTGTTCATTGCCATGCCTGGATACTCAGGTGTTAGTGCTATTGGTCTCCAGCCCCGCCCTGGAGGGTGGTTTCACTGGAGTCACCTGCAGGGAAGAAGAGGCTTCAAGAGAGAGCCTTGAGCCAGGCTTTCACTGGATGCAGCTCATCTTCTCTGATCAGGGCTTATAGTCTTCAGTGTGTCCCACCTGACTTGAGACCCCCTTTTCTGTGTCGACAGGACCAGAACCCTCCCAGCGTCCCTGTACCAACCCAGGCTGCCAGTGTGGGGACTCAGCCACCGGCCGTGTCCGTGGCCAGCACTCACAGTAGCACCTCCTTTCTCAGTAACCAGCAGCAGGCAGCTGTAATGAAGCAGCATCAGTTGCTTTTGGACCAACAGAAACAGAGGGAGCAGCAACAAAAGCATTTGCAACAACAACAGTTTTTGCAAAGGCAACAGCACCTTCTGGCAGAACAGGTAAAGGAAAAGGTGGAAGAAAACCCCACCATCCCTTCCCATGTTTGCCTGCCTCCCAAGTCACTGCAGTGGCTACAAGCTCCAGTGTGTATGTATGTGGATTTGTGATTGTTTTTATGCCCGGTATTAAGAGTACTCCTGGAAACAGGAGAGTGACGATTCTCAGACAGTGGTAGCCTGTGTCAGAGCAGCTTTATGTCACTTAGTGGGGATTAATGAAGGCCGAATCTGTGGCTAAAACTGTATGTGTTAGGAACATTTTTCCATGTCCCTTGTCAGCAGCTACCAAAGCACTGAGCTCACTTGGTCCACCAGTTTGCTATGGGATCCAGCTTTTTTGTAGAGGTAGAGATTGCTATAAGGCAGAACATAAAGCAGGGAAATGAAGACATCCCTGAGGTCCTGGGGTTCAAGAATCAGGACTGACAAGCCCCCTCCCAGTCCTGCAGTTCACCCACTTGGTCACCAAATGTAGTGTTCAGGAACCAAGGTTATAGGAGTTCTCAGGATTTTAAGTTACATCCTTAAGATGTAAGAGAACTAGCTACCCAGAGAATAAAGTTGATTGAGGATGACTTTAAAGCCCACATTAATGCCTCAATTCTGCCATTTTTAAAATAACAGCTTTATTGGGATGTAATTCACATGACATACAATCCACCCATTTAAAGTGTATTATTCAGATAGTTTTTAGTTTATTCATAGAGTTATGCAAACCTTCACCACAGCCACTTTTAGAACATTACCTAAAAGAAACCCTGTACCCATTAATAGTTGTTCCCCCATCTTCCCAAGCCTAGGGAACCACTAATCTACTTTTTATCTCTATAGATTTACCTATTCTGGACATTTCATATAAATGCATTCAAGATTCAACCATATTGTAGCATGTATCCATACTTCACTCCTTTCTGTGGCTGAATAATATTCCATTATATGAATATGCTGCGTTTTATTTATCTGTTCATCAGTTTATAGACGTTTGGGTTGTTTCCCCTTTCTGTGGACGTAGGTTTTCTGTCCTCTTGAGTATACACCCAGGGATGGAATTGTTGGGTCATGTGGTAACTCTTTAGTTTAACCTTTTGAGAAACTGCCAGACTGTTTTCCAAAGCAGCTGCACCGTTTTACGTTCCCACAGCAGTGCGTGAGGGGGCCAGTTTCTCCACATCCTTGACACACTTATCTGTCTTTTTGATTCTAGCCATCCTAGTAGGTGTGAAGTGGTATCTATCTCATTGTGGCTTTGATTTGCATTTCCCTGGTCTGCCATTCTTTTTTCTTTTAACTGATACATCACCTTTTTTTTTTTTTAAATCATTGCCCCATCCTTCTGTCTCATACTACAATTTATTAAGAGCCCCCCAAATGAGATTATGAGCATTATCTCCATAGGAGTCCCTCTGAGTAACAAACTTGGACAGTTTACTTTTCTCTAATCGCTTTGTTTTTGTTTTACGTGGATCTTGTAATTTTCTGTTGTTCTTGGCATTTTCTAGGAGAAGCAACAGTTTCAGCGCCATCTGACCCGCCCGCCACCCCAGTACCAAGACCCAACACAGAGCACCTTCCCACAGCAGGTTGGACAGTTCACAGGTGAGGAGTGTCTGAGGCAGTGGAGTGGGGCAGGGGAAGGCAGGCACTGGACAGAGCAGGTAGTCTGTTCCACTCATGCTGAGTTCCTGCTATCTGCCCAGTTTTATGCTATAGATGCTAAATGGATGTATATGCTCCTGTAACTCCATTCTGCATAAGGATCCTAGCGTTCTGGTTACTCTACAGGTCAGGAGAAGAAAGTCATAGAGGCAGACTACTTTGGCTAAGTGCTTTGGCTGGGTCCCTGGCTGTATAATCTTTTGAGGCAAAATCATCTGTAGTTGGAAGATATCTTATCAATAGGAAGGGGCTTCTGTAATTCTTAAGAAAGTTCTTTGCTTCTAGCATTATGTGTCTGTTCAAAAAACGACCGTCTCCTATTTTCCAGATAAGGAGAGACTTAATGCACTTGTATGGCCTTTTGCTTCTTTTCTTTCTTCCTGTCTGCTCATACTGGTGTCACGGATGGCAGTTTCGGCAGCAGACAGTTGACCAGAAAGGGGCAGGAAGCATTCTGAGGTCTCAGCTGTCATGTGAGAGAACCTGACCGCCATTGCTCAGGCTGTTGCTCCAGAATAGAGAGAGATTTCAGTTGACAGATGCCGTAAAATCTAGGCCATACCTGCCTTCCTAGCTCTTGGAATATCTTCGAAACCTGTGCTTCTCTTGGTCAGAGATTCTCGTTATAAAGTGTCCCAGAGAAGTTGACCACAGCTGTGCATTCCAGAGGAGACTTAAGTGGGTTTTTGTTGTTGTTGTTGTTGTTTTGCGGTATGCAGGCCTCTCACTGTTGGCCTCTCGCGTTGCGGAGCACAGGCTCCGGACGCGCAGGCCCAGCGGCCATGGCTCACGGGCCCAGCCGCTCCGCGGCATGTGTCATCTTCCTGGGCACGAACCCATGTCCCCTGCATCGGCAGGCGGACTCTCAACCACTGCACCACCAGGGAAGCCCTTAAGTGGGGTTTTATGCTTTGCTAACAGGGACCAGGGGTTGAAGTCTGTGGGCATCTCAGAAGCCTGGGTCTTGGCCAGCTTTCCTGCCTTCATCCCATCTGATGTTGTTGTGGGCTATCAGTGGTAGAGAAGTGGACTGTTTGAGCATTTCCCTTTTGTCTTCAACTCAGTTTTTAGTTAGGTGCTGATGGAGAGAGGAAGAGGAGAAACAAAGTGTACTCAGTTATGACCAACCCCTGAACAATCGCTCACCTACCCACAAAAAATCATCTCAGTCAGGGCTGTCACCATGCATCCACTGCTTAAGACAGAGTCCCAAATAGCAAGTTCACTGAGGATAGGACCTCTCTGTCCCATTCCGTGCTGTCTCCCCAGCACAGAACCTACCACAGAGCAGGTGCTCAGTAAATATCTTCTGATTTCAGTCCAGACTCCTTCCTCCGTTCACCACCCTGCAGTGCCACACCGTGTGGGCCTCATCTAAGTGATCCTGACAGTCCCTGCCGAGCTAGGTCTAAACCAGAGTCACAGTCCAGTTACCCTTTGGCTTTGCAACCCTGTCCCCTCCTATGGTGGCTGGCGGCAGCTCTTCTGAATCTGGCCGGGGCCATCTCTTCCTTTTATCTCTAGATACTCTCCCCACATTCTAGCCATAGAGTTTGCCCCTTCCTCTGTGCCTGTCTCAATCTCCTTTTTGCTCCAGACCGGCCTCCATTCCACCCTGTGGGAAACCTTTGCCCCCAAGGCTCTCTTTGAGGTTCCACTGATCATGAGGTATCTGGTGTTCTGATTTTGCCTTTCAGGCCTGTGGGATAGCAGCTGCAGCTTGGGTCTTGGAGGTATCTCCATAGTGGCGGTGAAGAAATGCTAGCTTAGTTGACAGAATTTTCTCTGTCTTCTAGGGTCCTCTTCTGCCATGCCTGGCATGAACAACTTGGGTCCATCTAACTCCAGCTGTCCTCGAGTGTTCCCTCAGGCCGGGAATCTGATGCCAATGGGTCCTGGACACACTTCGGTTTCCTCTCTCCCTTCAAGCTCAGGCCAGCAGGACCGGGGTGTGGCTCAGTTCACTGGCTCGCAAAGCATGCCACAGGGCAGCCTCTATGGCATGGCTTCTGGTATGACCCAGAGAGTTGCCCAGCCCCCACCACAGGCCACCAATGGACATGCCCACATTCCACGGCAGACTGGTGTGGGCCCGAACACCTCGGTTTCAGCTGCCTATGGGCAGAACTCTCTGGGGAACTCGGGTATCTCCCAACAGCACAATAAGGGGACCCTGAACTCTGGTTTAACTAAGCCACAGGTCCCAAGGGTATCGGCAGCCATGGGAGGCCAGAATTCCACATGGCAACATCAGGGAATGCCGGACCTGAGTGGCCAGACCCCAGGAACAACTGTGTAAGCCCCTTCACTGCAGCTTCCAGTTTCCACATGCAGCAGGCCCACCTGAAAATGTCCAGCCCGCAGTTCTCCCAGGCGATGCCCAGCAGGCCTATGGCCCCCATGAGCTCAGCAGCTGCAGCAGGGTCCATGCTGCCCCCTGTGAGCACACAGCAGAGGACCAGTGCCCCTGCCCCAGCACCTCCCCAGGGAGCCCCACAGCAGGGCTTGCCGGGTCTGAGCCCAGCTGGGCCTGAGCTGGGGGCCTTCAGCCAGAGCCCCGCCCCAACAGTGGGTGGCCGGGCAGGGCTACACTGCGCCCAAGCCTACCCTGTGCGGACCGCAGGCCAAGAACTGCCCTTTGCCTACAGTGGGCAGCCAGGTAGCAGCGGGCTGGCCAGCATGGCCGGAGACGCCGACCTGATCGACTCCCTGCTGAAGAACAGGACTTCGGAGGAGTGGATGAATGATTTGGACGACCTTCTAGGGCCTCAGTAACAGGAGGATTTGTGGTGTTTTCAGTGTTCATACAGCCTATATTTTTCTTCTCAAATTCAAGAAAGAGCAACTACTTTGGACCAAAAGCCCACAGCCCGGGGAGCTGGGCAGGTAGAGCTAGAGCCATGGGGCTGAGGCCTGGTCCTCCCAGGCTCTGTGGGGCCCAGGGCTCCCAGCCAGCAGTTGTGGTGTGTTGGGCTGGCCCCACCCCATCTGCTGGCATTGTTATCTGGTGTTGGGACAGCAGGACAGGGTTCTGCAGGTGGTTTTCTATCCAAATGACCAAAAAACCAACAGTGAAACCCCACGATGTCAGGCTTATAAAAATCTGTGCTATCATGTTGACTTAATCCAAGATTTCTCCACTTGCCCCAATTTTGGGACAAATTTTTGTTGAAACTTTATAGCAGAACTATTTGCAATTTGTAGCATAGAAAATATTTTAATTTTTTTTTAAGGTTTTAAAACAGATTAGGGTAGGTGGTGGTTTAAATTGATAAGTGGCATTGGAAACTTAGGGTTTCCTTTTGATTAAGAGCCTTTTTTATCCCTGCTCTTTGTCAGCTTTCAAGGGCAAAGGGAGGCTCACTGGAAAATCATTTCCATAAGTGCAGGCTGTGACTGCATGTGCCAAAAAGGAACACGATGCCATGAGAAAGCAGAGTTAGTGACACAGATCTGGTCTTTCCAGCAGCTCCTCCTTCTCCCAGAATGCTGTTCTTCCAGGCTAGCATTTAGGAGGATGTGGGCTGAGGAATCCCTTCCTCCCATGTGTTGGTAGCAAGACCCCAGGCGGCCCCCAGGCCAAATGCTGAAATGAAACAATTGGGATTCCTGTGTCCTCTTTTGTTGTTTCTTCTTTTGCAGTTTCTCCGAAAACTCATATTTAATGTGTTAGGAAGGTGATCATTGTTGAGTTATGAACAGATGTCTTTCCTGCACCCTGTCTTCATTTCCCATAACCTTTCTTTCTGCCTCCCCTTCTTTCTCTCTCCAGCCCAAATGGAAAAACTCCTTAAGCCACTGATTTACCGGATTGGAGAGGAAAAGAAAGAGTCATTAGAATTCCCTAGGGAAGCCTAGCATAGTAAGGAGCTGGGTATCCCTTCCCCAGAAAGCAAAGGTTTGTGGGAAGGAGAAAAATAGGTGTGCCCTGTTTGTCAGGGAGGACGCAGGCCGGGCCAGAGGAAGGAATTCCACTTTGTTTTACTACTTCTGCCACTCCCTTGTCAGATGACTTGCACTTTTTAAAGAGAATTGCTTTGTAACACTAATACATCCTTTCTAAAGATTCAAATGGATTTCTCTCTTAAGGTCTATGACTCTTTAGGTCTTCACTAAGCTAAGAGTCCACAACAACCTGTGGGCTGTTTGTGGGAAATGAAGACAGAGCACTTCGATGTAACAAAAGCAACATGGTAAGCACAAGGTGAGACCCTTTTAAATGGGGTGTCGGAGAGAAAATAGTACACTGAAAAGAGTGGCGTATATGCAGAGTGGTCTCTGGCGAAACCACAACCCCATTTTTATTTCCCTGGAGCCTCAGAATGGATAATTCAAGGAGTATCATATGTAAAGAATTGAGCCAAGGAAAATATTCACACAACCACCTTGAGTGGCTTTGAGGGGACAAAGGGTTGTACACACATTGGTAATTATTTTGCACCAGCAGTGCCTTTCATGGGGGTACTTGGACCCTCAGATCTTCTTCTCTAATAGCCATTTGCCAGCATGGGTGGTTTTGGGGCCATTTCCCCTTTAAATACCCTCCCTGCCTTCCCCAGTTACTGAATATAACTCTCAAAGAAGGGAATGAATCATAAAGCCAGTGAAGACTCCACCCTCTGAGTTCCCCAATCTTCAGCGGGTTTTCTACCAAAAATAGCGGCCGGAAGGCTGATGGTGGGTCCTTGCTCCTCTCCTGGTCTCCCTCTGGCTGCTGCTCACCTCTATCCCTGGGCGCTCGCGCCTCTGCCTCCCCCTTGTGAGGAGGGCTGCCCCTGCCTTAGTCCTGGGGCCACCTAGACAGACAGCAGGCTTCTCACTTGCTGCAGTGTCAGAGCAATAAAATGTGATGCTTGGAGTCCCCCCAGGGAGCTGCCTGTGGCTTTATTTATGAATCTGGTTTTTGGGTAGTCAGGGAAGGAGACAACTCCACTTCAGTGCAAATCCCCATCTTCCAGGAGCCATGACTCAAAAGAAAAGGGTGCTTGGACTTTTGTTATACACACTTGCTTTGTGTAAATAAATGTTTACAATTTTATATTAAAGATGGAATAAGCGTTAGAGCTTCTGACTGTATATTTTTTACTTTTATAGATTTTAAAACTATGATCCTTTATATATGTGTTTTGGGGGCTATAAGTTTTATGTCAAACAGTTGGTATTGTTAACTTTTTACTGTCATCAAAGTACATAAAAGTCCTATTAATTCCCTTATTCTACTTCCCTTAACTCTGGTATACACCAAAAAGAAATCTTTACTTTCCTGTTTTATCATTATAAAATAATAAAAGTATTTTGCTAGTATGGAAACTGCCCATGTATTTCAATTCACATGGCTGTGCCACAGGCAGGAGGTGGACCAGTACACAGCTGCTTTGTTTGGTAGTTGATTTCCTTTGTGATTTAGCTGCTTTCTTAATGCACATTGGTGGTGGGGGTGTTTGGTTTGTTTTTTGGTGATACATAGGAAATTAGCACTGACGTTGCCCAGGGCCACCGGTCTCTCCGCTCTCTAGACCTCATCCATGCCCTTACGTCTAATGTGAGGGAAGTTGGACTTAAGGGATACTTTAGATCCTTAGCAGTTCAGATGTTTTACTTAAACCCTTAGATTTACTGTCAGTGCAGTTGTCTAGGTCTCGTTTCGTTTTCTTTTTTATTGTAAGGAAGTGTGTGCTCTGGCATGTTCACCCGCCCACTCCTGTCAGTGTCACACTGTGAAGGGGCATCAAATGATGACAGAAGCCACACCGGGAGCCTGGAAGGCAAGTCTTCTCAGTGACCTCTCACCTCAGCCATAGGCTGGAAGCGGGTCAGACCTAGAGAAGCTTGAGCTCTTAGAAGGGCAGGAAAGAGCAGCCTTCAGGGAGGAAGCCTGTCATGTGATGGAATTAAAAGGTTTAATTACTCTAATGAAGCCTAACAGAGCCATGTATGTAAGGCACAGTAAAGGGAAGAACACAAGACTCATGAAGTCTTGGCTGAGAATGCACAGAATGTGTGTGATGTTTGGCGTGGGGTGGGGGCACGCTCTCATGAGTGGTGAAGGAAGTACAAAACAGAACCAAAGGGAGATGATTCTGCTTGTCAGATTACCTCGGTCATCCTCAGTGCTGACTGCAGTGTGATGAGGCAGGCTGCTGTACAACTTTTTTGTGGGAAGAAATATTGAAAAAGGTAGCAAGTGCCTTAAAATATTCATGCCGTCTGTCCACCCCAGAAATTCCAATTCTGAGAAGCCATCCTTGAAAATAATTCTGAGTGCAGGAGAAGGTTATAGAGCACAGTGGTGTTCCTAGTAGCACTATTTATAACTGCAGAAAACTAGGAGAATCTAAAGAGCTGTCAGAGGGGATTGGTTAAGTAAATTGCAGCACTTCCTCTTGATGAGGTACAATGTAGTTACTTTAAATATTTAGCAAGGTTTTGAACATTGCAACTTGGAAACCTGGTTTTGTTGGGCTTCTGTTGGGAGCCAACAGAAAAACTGGCTAATAAAACCCTGAACGTTCCCTGCCCCCAGTCTGTATTTAGATTACCAGCTAATTCCCAGAATCAGAGGAGGTGTTTAACAAGCCAGGCCTCAGGAGTGCCAAGGGTCAGGCAGTTCCAGTCTGTGCTGCCCGGCCACCTTCCCGAGTCTGTCGAGAGTTACAAGCCAGACTCATGTGGTGACCGAGGCCGGCTCCTTGAGGCACAGCTCCCTCAGCTCATGTTTATAGAGCACCCACTATGTCCAGGCATTGTATTAGGAGCAGGGAAAGTAGCAGCAGTATAGGAGAGCAGGTCCCTGCTCTGTGGACCTTCAGTCTCATGTGAAGGGGGTGTCATAACATGTGACAGATTTCAAAATGGTGTCAGGAAGAAACTAAAGCAGTGCATAAGGTAGAGGCTGCCATGGGGGAGGGGAGGCCTGAGAGACTTTAGATGTGGTGGGCAGAATAGGCCCCTCTAAGGAGACACCTAACTGAGGCCAAGTACTGGAAGGGAGCCGGCCAGAGTTCTGGGGAAGAGCAGTTCACAGCCACATGGGACAGGAGAGGAAATTCCCCAAAGGAAGAGGGTGCTGTTAACAGGAAGGGAGGAATGCTGAGAAAGTAAAATCAACAGATGCCCAACACATGTTCAATTAAAAGCACAAAGGACATATGTTGCATATAGTAGGAGAGCGGGCCCTTGCCCCTCTGCCAGGTGACCCCAGCACTGCAGCATCCGCAGTGCAAGCCTGCGCTACTCTGGGGCCTCTGCCAGCCCAGCCCAAGGAGATGCTGAAGGTAAGATGGGGTCCCACGTTCATCCCTGGTGTTGGACTGCTTCTGCCATCATTAGCAGCTTTATCAATTAGTCAACCTTAAGGCCAGTCAGCTGATAAGGGTGTGGAAGTGGCAACATGGAAGTGGTAAAGGTGTTGAAAGATGCAAAATGGTGGTTGCCTGTGAACTTGGTCCAAGGCTAGTCAACTAAAAGTTCCAGGTACTCTGGGACCAGCGCAAAGAATGGTAGGCGATGTCTTGGAAACAGGTCAGCTCTTCTGCACATGGGATCAATTTGCCTTACTGGAAAGCTGGTGATGCACTTGCCACTTTTCAGATAGGCTTTGCTTATGTGTCAAAGATAATTTGCCTTCTGAATGGTTGCAGTAAGCTGGGCTGCAGACCCTAGTCAGTACCTGCAGACCATTTCATGGAAGTTGGAAAAAATAGCTTCAGACCCTCACTCAAAGTGGAATCCAGCATGGCAAGGACAGAACACACAGCTCCACCTCGATATCAGTG